AAAAAAAAAAAAAAAAAAAAAAGACAATTTTGGTAAGCTGAGTTATCATTGATGGCAGACTCAATGTAATTGATTAACTTCAAGCAGAAAACTGGAAAGAGCTGCAGTCGTTACACATGACACTGTTTTCCTAACTTTTTGTATTCTTCAGATTTAAAAATACACAATCAATAGTGATTTACTCAGACATGATGTTGCTAGAGCACAGGCATGAAGAAAGCAGTTCTTCTCTGTCACATGGCAAGTATGGCATTGACACACTAGTTTTCTGACCCACATTCATAATCTAAACGATGGTTTTTTTTAAAAATTGCTTTCCAGGTAAAATCTGATTATTAGGTATCCCTTTTTCTTAAACAATTCAAGCTACCTGAGATACAAACTGTTAAAAAAAAAGATCCTTGCTTGCCTTAAATCTGAAACACTTGCTAAAACCATCACTCTATATTGGAATTTGAAGCAATGAATTGTTTGTTTCCCCATTCCCCAAATCCTAGTCTGCTGGACACATCCTGCTCTCTTTAAGAGTTGGGAGGAAAACATCCCAGGCAAGCTGCAGACACCTACCCTGTAATTGTACAGGTGGCCAAACTGCCAGTAACAGCAACTGCTGCCATGATTTGTACCCTGGCCAAGACCTGAGAGATGTATGCCCTGGATCCACAGCACTGCTTCCTCATATGGAACCTTTTGCATTTAGGAAAAATACACTTCTAGACCAGGTCTGATCCAAAAAATAATAAACTAGGCTTTCCCCAGCTTTTTTTCTGGTGCTATTAAAACTACATAAGATTCACAGACCCTGCGTCAGACCTTCAAACGTATACAAGTGCTTAAACATACGAATGGGAGATAGGAACCTTTTTTCAATTAATTAAAGTTAGGGATTGAACCAGTTTAGACTCTTCCAAAATATTATGTAGGCTCTAAACACCTATGTAATACTTTTAATTCATAAAGCTAGGCAATTTACAGATGATGTCACTTTCTCATTTTGCCCAAAGGTATGTAGAGTTCTCATGACTTGCCCAGGAGCTGCAGAGGATTATTCGATGACTGAGCTGTGAGCTAAGGGCCCACAGTCATGTTTAAGCATATGCTACTTTCATCCCTTACCTCCAGTCCCTTGCTCAAGGCAGGATCAGCCCAGTCTAAAACCAATCCAAATGTTTGTTTAACCAGAAAACATGTTTATCTTGAAAACTTGTAAGGAAACTGCTCAGCCTCTTAAGATGGTTAGGCATGGCAATAGATTACCCTCAAAGTTGATTTTTTTTCTCCCTAATACCCTATTTTAATTTCTCTCTAAGGCCACTGCTCCTTTCCCTGCTTTTAAGCAAATCAGAAGCCCACCAGTGCCTTAGTCACTATAATAAAATAAATCTTAAATACCTATAAATTTTGGTGCTTGATTTTTGAGTTTATCATAGAAAATCAGAGTTCTCCCTGCCATCTTTGCTCACCAGGACATGGGTCCAGCTGCAGCTACCCACCCCCCAGTTGCTTAGCACTGAGCAGCCCTGATATGCTGGTGCCCTGCCCATGCCATTGCCCTTCACTCCCAACCCACAGTCCCCACAGCCCTGCTGGTGCCCCTCAGGCCCCACCCACAGCCCCCTGCCCTCCTCAGCCCCATCATGGAGGCCCCCAGCTGCCCTAGCTGCTGCCTGAGGAAGACAGTGGCTGCTGCAGCCCGAGTGGAGCATGGATCCCAGCTCTCTTTCCCCTGTGGGCAGCACGGCTGGAGTGGAGCCCATGAGGCAGGGGTGGGTGCAGGCTGCCCACTGCAGGCTCAGGGTCGCCCCTTCCTGCTGCCCTCCCCCTGGGACCTCCGCAGCCTAGTGGGCAGGACCCAGTGTGGCACTGCTGAGAGGGGTAGCCTCCGCTCGGTGCTGGGAGCACCATGGCAAGGTGCCCTCTACAACTCTCTGCCACCACCCCCACTGCTGCTGGGCAGGTAGGGGGTGCCTTAGCATGGCAGCATGGGGCTCCTGACAGCAGCACCAAGTCTCCCCACCCAACCCCACTAGCTGAGCTGCAGAGGCCCGAGAGGGAGGGCAGCAGGGCAGGGAGCCCCCAGCCCACAGTAAGCAGCCTGCCCCCTCACTGGCCCCTAGGCGAGTAGCCCATGGCTCTGCTGCCACGCATGGCCCCACCCTGGCTGGGCAGCAGGCCCAGTCCTACCCAACTCTCCCTCACTATGGGGGCCTCAATCCCACCCCCAGACTTACCTGTGAGAGTTGCTTTCCA